TGGAGGTCTACATTGGAGTCTAAAGGCCTTCGTTTAAGTAGAACTAAAACTGAATACATGGAATGTAATTTTAGTAGTAGTAGCTCTAGTGACAGAAGTGTGACTTTGGGTGATCAAATTATTAAAAGGTGCGAACGATTTAGATATATTGGTTTCGTTGTTCAAAGCGAACATGAAATGCTGCTCAAAATGTAGCAAGCATTTTAAAAATCTTCAATGGAACCCTTTGAAGATTAGGTTGTTTTGTAATTTTGGCTAAATATGGGAATTACAAGATACAACGACATGGAAACTATTTAACACAGGCTTGCAGCAGGACTTGCTATAATTAGTTGGGAATGCATCAGGAAAAGGTAACAGTATAACTTGTCCTTCTATTTCCTCTTAATTTATTGCTCCATTTTTCTTTTGGGGGAGCTATGGGATAATTACATACAAAACACTTGAAATATTGATATTTACAAATTAATCACCCAGGTCATTTTTTTGCAAATATGAATATAAAGCGTCGACCATCTGATGTAGGACCATCTGATGAAGGTAGATGTTTTAGATTTGACTTATGTCAAGAAAGGCAGAGGTAGACCTAGGAAGACTTGGACTTATTGTATAAAAAAATGATCTTAATTTACTAGAACTAAATGAAAATATGACACTAAATAGGACGCAATGGAGAAAAATGATTCATATAGCCGACCCCACGTAGTGAGATTAAGGCTTTGTTGTTGTTGTTGTTGTTTTATTTTGTATAAATACTCATAATTAATGAAATATATATTTTAGGATCTTCTCTAGAGAACAGTCATAAATTGATAGAGATGTGATCAAAGAATTGAATAATTGGAAGAGGTGTCGAAGGATAAACAAAAGAATAAGGTAGGTGAGATATGCGACGCAATCATACACACAATGATTTAATGAGATTAAAAAAGAAAAATGATAATGTCTTTAAATTATATGATTAATTTAATGATATAAAGTTGCAAATTTAAAACGTTTTAAGAGATTATTAAAGAAAAAATCTATATGATTAGGTACTACATTTAAGTAGAGATTGAAAGTTTAGT